CAACCAACCAACCAACCAACCAACCAACCAACCAACCAACCAACCAACCAACCAACCAACCAACCAACCAACCAACCACCACAACAACAACGACTTTGAACATGTTTTCTTGTATGTAAGTAGCTACATGTAACACGACGCCTTTGGTATGTAACTACATGTATTCTCACTTGCACTTTTGGCGGCTTGAGTCAACACTGCCCTTTCAAAAGCGCTGCCCGTTCCGCAGCGCAGACCCGCCAAGCTCGCAGAGGGCCGCTCTTTTTCGCAACTTCTTTTCCCCCGCGACACGCCCCCGCCTGCTTTCCCGCATGCATTCCTTCTTTCTTCGTCTTACCTTTGGCGCAAGCTTTCTGCAAGAGCCAGCTTTTCGCATTGGCCGTCTGATCTATCCGCAAGAGCTGTCTGCAAGCTATCGGCAAGAGCTGTCTTTTTGCACGCGCTATGTGACCTTCTGTAAGCTATCTGCAGAGCTATCTTTCCGCACGCGCGGTCTAAAAACTTCTGAAGCTATCTATCTGCGCAAGCTACCCTTCAATTCGTTTCCGTGCTAGGGAAATGTCTTCTAACCTGGCTTTGAACATTGAGCCGGCGAAGCTGATCGAAAGTTTCTAGAATATGACCAAAAACTAGAGTTATCTTGTCTCTTTATTTCTGCTTTGTAGTGAGCGCTATCTTCTTCTTTCCATCCTTCTTTCTCTTTATCGGTTCTTTCTTTACTGCTCTATGTCTTTGCTTCTGTTTGTCTTTCTGTGCTTATGTATGTCGGTTTATAGTTCGGTTTCTCTATCTATCTATCGACCTACCTATATTATTTATTCTTTTATGTCTCCGATTAGTTAGCAATCCTATCTATGTTTTCTATCTATGTTCATATAATTGTCTATGTATCGACATGATTAATCAATTTTTTGCACTAGATCTATTTATTTATTGTATCTGTCCACTTTTTGATCCGACAAATCTACTACTTTCTCTTCTACCTGTCTCTTCTATCTACCTACCTATCTACTATCTATCTATCTACTTGTCCTGGCTAACCTATTTAGTCTACCCAGTCTATCTAACCTATCTATTTGCCCACCTATCTACCCACATGTCTATCTATTGATCGATCGATTCATCTATCTATCTGCCTTGCGGAAGTGCTGCGTTTGCAACAAATCTGCGCTGCCTCTTCTTCCATGTGCTGAAATGAATTTGTTTCTTACTTTTCACCTGTTGGTGTTAAAGGAGCTCGATTTCACTACTAGAAATATGTCCTATTTTTCCAGAGACCTTCATGTAGTATCGGTCACTGATTTCTGGGCATGCTGATGTTCATAATTTGCCAGTGGTTAGATACTGACGATCACGTCGTGTGTCATGAATAATGAATGATAATTTTTGTAACTGTCCAGAGTAGTCCCAGCATCAGGATGAAATGTTGCGTTATGTGGTATGTAAGATGCGTGCAGGTCCTGTCTGCGCTTTTGTTGAGTATCTACAATTACAACCCCTTCCCAGGCTTTGCACTCTAGGTAATTGCTGTAGACGCAAAGCGATGTCGGTGACTTGGTAGAAAAGAGCGGCATCCTCCGAAACTTGCATGCTTTGCACTCACGTCAGAAGCTGTAGCTGGCATAGTCATTGTGCTCTGGCAGAAAAAGAGAAGCACGCTACCATGAATTAGCACCACAGCCTCGAAATCATATCCAGAACATCCAAGCTCCTGAAGATGCAGCAATAGGCTCTTTTTCCTTACCCCTTCAAACAAGACCTAGAACCAAGGCCAGCCCGCATCAGGCCTGAGCCGCTGAGCCAAGCACGCTGGAGCCATGGCAACCTCCGAAGCTGAGATCTTTGACACTTTGGAGGCGTTGGAAGCTCCGGTACCTGACGAAAAACGTTTGGAGGAGTGGATGGACGTGATTGGGGATGCGGATCATGATGCGAATGAGCATTTCTGGGTTCCGGCGCTGGCACAATTTCTTACTTCCATGCGCTTGACAGATGAGAAGTTCCTTCGAGCGACGCCAGCGCGTCGAATCACGAGGCGCGCTGGGCGGGCGTTAAGACAAGGCACGCAAGTGAGCTTTGCGGATAGCCAAATGGTTAAAGAGATCAGCAAATTCATATCCCATAGCTGGCACGCATCACCATTGCTGAAGACACTGACCTTGCACAGATTTTACAATTTGAAGGCTGCTGCGCTGGCTGGTACTCTGGGTGCAGTGTTGGGGACGATCCTTTTTTCTTGCGGCCTCTTGCCGGGCTTCGAGAGAGCTCCGAGATTTGGCGAGGAACCACTCCTTCAGGGACTGTGGTCTTTATGCCTAGGGCAGCTGCTTTTTGTGTTGGTGCTGATTTTCCGCGCACCTCGAGATATGGTGTTTTTGGATCGACTCTGCATCGACCAGGAAAGCCGTCGAGCAAAGGCAGAAGGGGTGCTGAACATCGGAGCCTGTCTGAAGCATTCCAAGTCTTTGCTGGTGATTTGGGACGTGACCTATTGCCAAAG